GTCTTGGTCACTCATGGGAGTTAAAGGGTTAATTAGTGCACAATATATCATCGCATACAGTCATCAGTTGGAGTAGAGCAACACGGAATCTATTTACTAATTAGACTAAGTGCACAATATGTTATCACATACAGTCATCAGTAAGAGTTTCTCTACATCCACTGAGGTTGAGTTGTTGCAGCTGTGGTAGATTCTTTATAAGCTGTTAAAATAATAATTCAAATACACTGTGATACTTGGAAAACCATCTACTCTCAATACCCTCACATCTGTAGCCATATTCTTAATACTGTAATTTATTCATTTCCTATGGTGCTGACAAGAATCAGTTGTTTAACAATCGGGATCTTCTTGAATTGGTGATCATTTTGTTGTTATTATTACTGTTGTGGTTTAGTTTTCTCAAGCCTGATTTGTTTATTCCTTGGAAAACAAAATGTTAAAAAGTATTTCTAGTATCGGCCATTTTCTAAGGTTTAAAGGAAATGTTATCAATTAAATATGTTAAGTAATTTTGTAGAATGTTTCCAGATGTAATGATGTTTCATGAAAAGTCTGTTCTTCATAATTTTTATACCAGACTAATTCAACACTTAAAAAAAACTAATGCACATAGCATTTCTGACATGCTAAAATAACTCTTTAAGATATTTAATTCAAGCAAGTCTGATAAGATCTATCTATAAAAACAAAATCTATAGATAAAACAAGATCTAGATATAGGATCATCTACCTGCATCATTGTTGCCTTTGTGAGGTTTGTCCATGCTAAATTTAACTGCTTGAGTCTAAAATAAAAAACTGAAGTAATTTAACATAACATATGTACACGTATTATATTAAAATGAGAGTTATCTGTCAATTAGCCAGATTTGAAATAAAAATTCATCAAACTGATTTGTATGGTAAGCTGAATTATAAATGCGTGCATTTTGATTGGTTCTTGAAGAACAGACGCATGGATGACGTGTCACCATCAAAAACATTTTGCTTTTCTATCTTGTTAACCCTCTAACTCCCAGATCAAATTTGTAATTCTCCTTACTGTCAACCATACAATTCTTATGTTAGTTCAGAGAATTTAGTATTGGATCAACTAATTATCTCCAATTTGATATTTTTCTTTATTCTCATCACTCATCTGGTTGACATTGTAAGAAGAAATTCTGTCTTGGTCCTTCATGGGAGTTAATGGGTTAAAACAAATAGATTCCATTGCCATGGGTTTACAGTAATGGATCACAGAAGACATCAAGATGTGGTCAGAACATCAGTGACACACATGGCTGCACCTCATGTGCCACTTTTTATGGTCTTACCACATCTTGATGTTATCTATGATCTTTTACTGACCAGACCCATGGCAGCAGAGATTCTATTTTTTTAATACAATCTAACATTTGAATGCATTTTTCCTGATCATAATAAGTTTTTTAATGAACATGCACCTGGAGTTTTTTCCACCTTTAACCAAGGAGCAAATTCCTGTGATTGTTACACCAGTGCACATGGCAAGATTTAAAACTTCAAGATTGCGCAGTTCACTGACGGCTCTAAAATCAGAAAAGAAGGCAATATGCATCAAAACAAAGGGTGTAAAAAAGGAATACATTATCTACAGAGAAAAATTATAATTGGAATAAGTATTTATCATTGCAAAGATTGAAGCAGCAATCATCAGAACTAATCATCACCATTATCATCTCTAAAACATAAGTGTAATTAGTCACTTAGTCCTGTGAATAATCTATTTTATCTATTAACCATTTAACTCCCAGATCAAATTTTAAATTCTCCTTACTGTCAGCCATACAATTCTTATAATGTTCATTCAGATAATTTAGTATTGGATCAACTAATTATCCCCTGATTTATATTTTTCTTTATTCTCATCACTCATCTGGTTGATATTGCATTGATACTGTAAGGAGAAATTCTGTCTTGGTCACTCATGGGAGTCAAAAGGTTAGGTAATGAACTATTTAGATTCTATTATTATTATTTTTTTAAACCCTTGAACTCCCAGAAGTGATTAACATGTAACATCTCCCTACAAAATCCATACATTACCTAGAAAATAGCTGATGAGAATACTCAAACTTATCAGGTACATGTATAATTTATTATCTTGATCTAACACCAAATTCTTGTAACTGATTGACCTTGGGAATTCAAGGGTTAAGTTTTGGAGGAAAGAAGGTTAAGGAAACTTGAAACCACAAGGCTCACTGCAAAGACCATGCCAATGATCAAATTACGATTGTGTTAGTGAATTAGTGTTCTCTTATGAACTAGCAACTGTGCTTTTCACAGTGGAAAAGGTCTGATTGTATAATTTACTACAAAGGTCAATGTATCTTGTTCTTACTTTAATATGGCTGTAGAAACCTTGCAGGATTCCAAACTGATGTGGGTCAGCTGTTTCGATTGCTTAAGTGAAATAAACGCACAAACAATTTTATGAAAAGAGTTTCATAATGTTTTATGTCATCTCTCATTTGCGCTGCAGCTTACCCTACCCTACTACACTTGGAACAGACGACACTTAATACAAGTGATTTTCTTCTGTAGCATATAATTCGATGAAAAGATTGAAAAGCTTGAAAGTAGCTTGTGTCTTTGGAAATGGCAGAAGAATAAACTCCTAAAGCCCTCATCTTCAACTCAAACTTGAACATTTGGAAAGGGTCTTTTGATCTCAAGAAGTCCACTTTCAGTACATACCATGAGAAGGCAGAGGAGGGTATCCTCTTGAAAACTGCATGAAGTGGCATCTAATAATCTCAGGTTGAATAACGACTTACTTAAAATGACAAAGAGGAAAGAAAAAAAAAAGGATTAATGTTAGTTATTTATAATGGGTGCTTGGAAATAAATTAAACTGTAATTGACTTTTGATCCAACATCAACTTTTCCAAACTTCGGGCTACATATGTGTGCTTCTGGAGAACACTAACCTTGGTGACTTTGGTGACAGAGGAACTACATCAAGGAAGAATGGAGCATTATCATCACATAAAGGTGAAGTAACCTGTAAAAGGGACATTAAAATGTTATTGATGAGAAATAATCTAAAACAACATGTCCATAGAATGTTACTGAATGAGTACATTAAATGTAACTGCAGAAAAATCATGGACATGAACACCTGAACACCTGCAGTTACCTTTGCATGGGCTATTCGCAACACCCTGGTTCCTCGTTTTAATACTTTTCCTAACAAACCAGGTAAGAGGTTTGACTTAGTCATGTCTACACGATGCCATAGACTTTCATCATACCTGAAAAGAGAGTGTTTAACCACTGAGATCAGAAAAAGGTAAAAGGAGATGCATCAACAGGAATAATTGATGCATTAAGACTGGGGCAGAGGTTTCAGTAAAAGCTGATTACAAGCAGTGGACCACCACATCTAAGACCTCTTACTTCCTTCTGTTTTGTCAGTAAGCAGGCTCTCAAGTTTGGGTTTTGCATGGGCTTTCACAAGGGTGAATTTCAAATTTTTGGATTATAAATTTTATTGGGAGGGGGCATGCCCCCAGACAACCCTAGGAAAAAGGAGAATTGCAGCTCCTTTACAGGTAAGGTCATCTATTACATTACAGCAGCAGCTTTTGGAAACAATTTATTGACACCCCTGCTAGGGTTACATTTAGCATCACGGACTGGCTGCCACTAAGACTAATTAAAATTAATGTTACTTACATTAGCCTTTGCCAGTGTTTGCAAACTCTAGCGCATCTTACTATTGTCTTCTTTGGTAAGAATTGAAAGATTGACAGAATTATTTCATCAGATAACATCATCCAATAATCTGAAAAAAAAAAATTCATTGAAGGTCATGTGAGGATGTAACCAAAAAGTTATATTGTTAACTATTTCACTCCCAAGATCTCAATAGTAATTTTCCTTACTGACTGCCATAAAATTCTTATGATGTAGTATGGAGAATTTGGTATCGGATCATCTAATAACCCTCTGATTGATTTTTTTCCCTATTCTCATCACCTGTCTGCTTGACATTGTTTGAAATTTTTCGAAGAAAATTTTGCGATTGTCATTCATGGGAGTTAAAGGGTTGACCAGTTCTTGACATAACAAATAAGAATGATTTGTACTTTTCCTTGATTTGAGAGACTTTTCATGATATATATATTTCCAGTCCTAATTATGCCTTACTAGGAGTAGGTTTTTCTTTCACATCAGTTCTTTTCCTTTTATGAACACAGGCTGTTGATTCTTTTGATTTTGGTCCACTTTTCCAGGCTTTGCTGTTAGTGGATGATGAACCACTTGCCACTAATGATGAAGTTTTTCCCCAATGACTAACAACAAACTTCTGACAGGGAGCCTGGAAAACAAGGCAAAAGAAGTTGATCTCTACGTGTCTGCTTACAAATGGATCTAGTCCAAGAGTAGAAATGGATATGACTTTATTACTGTCATCTAGGCTAAACTTCAGAATACCCCGCAACTTTGGTCCGTCTCACTTACATGTGTCGGGAGGCTTTGAAGATCGAGGCATAGACGAGACAATAGACGCTATTCTTATTCAATGACATGTAAATGAGTTGCGGGTATTCTGAAGTTGCTCCAAGTTTGGCTTGTACATAGATCAGTGTAGAAACAAATAAATTTTGACATAGGACATTGATTAAATTTGACCTAAAAGTTGTGTCCAGAAAGATTTTCCTGACTTTCTTTCTCTCGAGCGAAGAATCAGGGAATCAGATTGCTTAAATGAATATTACAAATTAAACCAAGAAAAGAATAACATTCAACAGAGCACGTCGATTTCAGCTTCATTAACATACACAACTGTGAGGCAATACACACAAATGTGGCGGGAATGTTTGAATTATACTCACAGGCAAATAAATTATTAAATATAACAATACGATGTTTAGCATAAGGCTCAATCCTCGCAAAATGTTCATTCACGAAATTCTTATTTACCTGAAGAATGGACTGCCTATTTAGTGGATTCACTCTCATTATTTCTTGGCTCAGTTCTCGTTCGTCCGCGGCGGGCCATTGCAGCTCTGCAACGCCAAGTTCTTTGTATGTTAGATCAACCTTCGATCTGCTAGATGAACATGTTATTTTTGAAATTTCTGTCCCAACTACATCCTTGTTTGGATGTTTCTGTGACCCTCCTTTGGTTCTCGCTGCACTTCTTTTCCGATTTTTCCTTCGCACGGGGGCCATTGCACCAAATCGAAGACAAATTTCCCGCTTAGGAGTGATAAACGAATGAAAAACAGGCAGGTACTCACCAGATCGAGGCAAAGCAATCACCATATCGAGGCAGAGGCGAAGGAAAATTTAGTATACTTGGACAACGGTGTGAGGGAACAGAAACCTAGCTTCATTCTCCTCTTGTTCAAGTGTTCCTCAGGAGAAAGTTAAGAGTTGAAAGCTGACTTCTACGCGGCAACATGCTCCCCTATGAAGTTCAAGATAAGCTCTGAGACCCCCTTCAGATCACACAAGCAGACTGACTTGGAGATTGCGTTGTGCTGTAATGCCATTAGCGCGTTCACGCAAACTTTTATGATCGCGTTGGAAAAATAATCACACAGTAGTCCAATTGTACGTAACATGGAAATGCAGAATGTTCCAGTCCTAAGATTCCGTTCAAACCAAGCTTTTGTGAAGCATTAAGGCTCAATTTTGCCGAGTCTCCCAATCAGTACAGAATTATTTTTTAATAAATGTTGAGGTAAGTATGGAAGGTTGGAAGGTGTGGAGTTCGTTTTAAAACACGATCCCTCGCCAGTGAACTACGAGGGACCAGTGACAAGAATTCAATCTCTCTTAATCATCTGCACGGTGGTATAGATACCAAGCACACTGGCCATTCTTTTTTTACTTCTGTTTTTATTCAAGTGATGGAACATAGAAGGTAAAGGAGGCTGCGCTTATGAGCAGTTTTCTGTGAGTGATGTAAAATGTTCTCATTTTGAAAAGGTCAGTAGCCCCGTCTAAGTTTCGTTAGCACTAAAAGTGTAATTAACTTAGACGAAAGATGCGAGCACGCCCAGCAACCTCAACTGCAACGACCTTGACGGCCTTTTTTACATATGTAGAACTGCCTTTTCTGGAAGAGAACAGCTTATAGCAAGCTAAACTTGCGACAGACTTGTGACTCGCACGCTGTAAGGACTAAGAACATTCGACTGACAACAACTAATCACTTGACTCTGAAGATGACTTCCGCTCAGGTTGTCGAAACGTCAGTCACCACTACCGACAACAGTCCTTCTCAGATCAAATTACACTATTACATGTTACCCCCAGGTTCAAACCATTTACTGTAAAAGGTACAGTAGTAACACAACAGATAATCACTAGTTACAACTCATACGACCGAGTTTAAAAGAATTTTAATTATTTTTTGTCTCTTTTATCTCAGTTAGTTTTCAAATTTTAAGCTTTGTTTAATTTTTGCGTAGTTAAAGCTATGCATGAAGTGTAAAGCTCTTTAATAATTAGTATGGATACACAAGTAATTAAACTGAGCAAGCAGTGTACAGTGCAATAGTTATTAATATAAACATGCTGTAAAAGTCAAAAGATTACGGGCTCCCTATGAATGTAAGCTGGAGAACAGCACGAAGCCTAGCTGAATCTATAGATGTCAGGAAGGGGAGGGGCGGGGGGGGGGGTTGGGAAGTTCACGAATCTTCGATGAATGCATCCGGGGAGTTATTACGAAACCCCAACACGCGCGGGTCGTTGTCATACCAACTTAGGTGAAGCAGCTACTCGAGGTCTTTGACAAAACCATGGCTCAATTCGAGTCCCTTTTCAACGCACCACGAGGATAACTTCCCTAGCGATTTCCGTGCCTCTTGTCTTAAATACACTTCCTCTTCTGTTCACAGTTTCAATCTTTCTTTCTCTCTGCTCTCGCTGCTGCCTTTGCAGCTGCTTTGGCTTCTGATTTAGCTGTGGATTAAAATAGAAAATGGTCTTAGAACGATCTGATCAGCAATTCTCCTTTCTGCCGCTACACATTTCCCTGTAAAATGTGTGAAATAATTTGGAGTTTTATCGAGATAACATCCTTCAGTTGACAAACCTGTTCTCTGGATAATACTTTGAAATTGAGAGTTAGGAGTTAAAGTGTTTGAGTTCACGTGCAGGACGTTTATTTTTACAGATCTTTTCGTCATTAAAGAATTCTAAAGCATCTAAGTCAGATCGAAGCCCTCTTGAAAGACAACAATTAAACAATTATAAGCGGATTGTAAAAACAACAACAATAATAATAGTAATAATGGTAAATGACCAATAAATCAAGGCTAAACTGACCAACCAGTTTATACGAACCAGACTTAGAACACTCGACTGACAACAACTCTTCACTTGACCCCGATGATGACTTCCGCTTAGCTTGTCGAAACGTCAGTGACTTCTTTCCACAAAAGTCCTTCTCTGGACTACTCTTACCCAGACGATCAGACTACACGATCAGACGGCGACAATGATACTGATAACGATAATGTTAATAACAATGATAATGGTAACATTTAAACATACCGATACGTGAACCCAAAAAAGAATAACTTTTACTCTTCCGATATGCTTCGAACGGGTCCTTCATGTCTGCACCAACCCCCTGAGATAAAGACAAAAACACAGTCATTATTTTCAATTCCACTTATTTCTAAGGAGGTATTCTATCATTAGTTCTAAAAGTTTTATATTATCTCAAGGTATCTTCATAGTTGAGGTGAATTTTCCGCCCTTTAATTACAAGTTTGATAATCAGCAGACTCTTAACAGAGAAAGTACAACGGCAATGACTCGTTCCTCACCTTGAACTTGTCAAACTTATCCCGAATCTCCCCCCCTGATATTGGATCCTGTATCCCTTGCATACTTCTACCCAGTCCAGCTCCTTCCCAACCTAACGATGAAAAATATCACATTCTGTCACGAAAAGTTCGTTTCAGTAATCTCAGATGATACGTTGACGCGAATTACCATTGGCTGGTGGTTGTGTGTTAAAAGTTATAAATATTTTTAGTTTACATATTGAGTGTTACACGAGGAAAACGTCACGAGTCACGCAATCTTTAGTCTAGGTGTTGTTCAAAGTCACGGTCCAACCCACCCATTTTCTTGAGCATCTGATGTCCGACGTTGCTTTCATCCAGTCTTTGTTCAGGGACCTTTGATGTGTACGACGGACTGGAAAGAAAAAACACAACCAAGTCAATTGAGACACCAAGCATTCTTCGCTAATATTTCACATTCGAGCGAAATCAAGAGGGGCGTATTCTTCAGGAAACTTCTACTCAGGGATTACCTCCTCTCAGGGAATATAAACTTTGTTTCCGAATTTTAAAAAAAAAATTCTTTAATAACTTTCGTTTCTGTGAGCTCCATTCAAGGGACACTTTTTATATTTCCGAAGGTGTCCCATAAATGGAGGTCCACCAGTATTTATTTCCTTCATTGAAGGGACCCCATCTTTTCAGGTCCAAAAGGGGCCCTTCAAACTTAGGTTCCTCTGGAATCTTCGAAAAAAAAAAAACACAAATGAGAGAACCTTTTTAGAATACTTACTGAAAACTTGGAGGCGTTGGACTTCTACCAGGACTTCTGTTGGACTTGAACATTGGTGAGATTGAACGTGATCGTGACCTGGAGCGTGAACGTGAGCGTGATCTTGAACGTGATCGAGATTTTGAGCGTGACCTGTTACAAGAAAGTCAAATGCAATTTACACAAAGGGTGGGCCAAGGATAACTGAAATGTTGTGAAACGATTACTGGGCACCCACACAAACGGTGTGACTTTTCGTTTATTTTAATTCAAATGGACTTTATGGGAATGTCCAAAAACTTCATCTAGTATACTTGATCTAGTAGTCACCATCAGTGATGACTTCCGCTCAGGTTGTCGAAACGTCAGTCGCCACTACCGACAACAGTCCCTCTCAGGACTGCACTCATCCGGACGATCAGACTACACTATCACATACTAACTTGTGATGAATATTCTCATTTAACATCAAGGGTTAGGCGAAAAATCCTTATCTGACCACAAAGGCGCGTTTATTTTATGTTAAATGCCGTGAGATTATTCGTCTCAAATAGGTACCGTGATGCGAACCTTTACAACATTGCCATACATTTCCTCTAAGTTACTATGTACAAAAGGTCACACCGTTTGCATGCACCCCTGCTGATGGCCTTTTGACATGACTTTACCTTCTTCGTCTTGGAGAGTTGGACCTGCTCCGTGAATGCCGTCTTCTAGGGGATCTAGAGCGAGAACGAGACCGCCGCTGACGAGGGGATTGGGAGCGAGAACGAGAGCGTGGCCGGGGAGATTTGGAATGGGACCTTGATCTGCTTGGAGGAATTTCTTGCACTTTGAGTTTCTCTGCTTCCTCTCGATCTTTTATGTACTTCAGCTTTGCTTTGTAAAACTCAAACAAACCACTTTGCTCCCACCCTTCACTGTAGAAAACATGTTTCAGACACCATTAGTCCAACTGCCAATAATTTTCTCAGAAAGCGTTATTTTGATCACTCCAGTTAGCAAAAAACCATGCAGAAGCAATAACAATCTCAGATTTCGGAACTTTACCCGAACGATCTCAGATTTCGAACGACTTCGGATGGCCTTCGAGCTCTTTTGGCGATTTCCGAAGAATATCCGAATACAGATTTTAAAACATCGAGTATCAAACAAAAAAAGATTAAAATTATCGGTAACCACTGCCTCATGTATCTAGTATGGAACATCAACGAGTTCTTCATATCAACCGTAAAATCCAAGGGCTCAAATATCAAAGGAAGAATTCAATTCAAAATTTTTTAAAATATTCTCTCCTCCTCTCTCCTCATTTGCGTACTCATAATCTATACTAGTAGAGTAAGGAGATGCAAGATATCAGTCAGACTGACTAACCTGTTCCTAGGCCTCTCGTGACTAGGTGGACTGTAAAACGCTTCTACTGCAGCAAGAAGTCTTTCACTTGGTGGCTGTGGTGCAGGAAGACGAAGAGAAGCTGGATCTATTGGCTTGTAGTCAACGTCTGGCAGCTTTACCAGGAAAGAAAACG